GACTTGATTGGGGGAGGGGGAGGGAAAGGGGAGGTGGCGGTGGGGAAGAGACAGAAATCTTTAATAAATAAATAAATTTAAAAAAAAAAAAAAAAAGCCGGCTGTGGCCACAGGTGTCTGGAATCCCAGCACTGGCGAGTGGAGAGAAGGAGATCCCAAGAACTCTCTGGCCAGCTATCCTGGTTGAAACCAGATTTCAGTTCAGAAAAGCCACCGAAGTCAACAAGGCAGGGAGCAACAGGGGAACACACTGAAGTCTTGTTGGCCTCTGAATGCTTGTGCATAGGTGTGTTCACCTGCACACACATGTACGTACCACATACACAGAACACACACACACACACACTCACCCCTTACTCCTGGTCTACACATACTGTTTCACGTCACGGATCCATTGAGAAACCACTTCCACGCCTGAGAGAGGCAAGCTACATGTTAATAGGATTAAGCTGATGGCAGTGACCTTACCCACACGAATACATCTCTGCTGCCACAACCGTTATGGGCTCCACCATGTCTGTACACTGGCCTTCAGGATTGGTGAGAATGTTCTCCAGGCTCTGCATCTGAGCTGGACACAGCCTTGACTTTAAGCCCTGCTTCTCCTGAGCTGCAGAGCCATCGTTAGGAAAGCTGTCCGTAATACTGACCAGACGGAATTAGTAAAACGGTAAACTGAAAATCCCGGGGATGAAGGTGGGGGAACGCCAAACCTATGCTAGGATTCTCCAAGGATGTTTAGTGGATTTGAGCATCTGCGAATGTGGAGTGTTAGAAGGTTGTGGGTCTGGAGCCTTATTTATTATCTTGGGCTATCTGTAGCCCCCTCCGTAGTCGCTTACGCCTGCCTTTGTGATTGGCCTGGCACCCTTGCGACTCAAGTCCTTTTGGAATGAACTAACAGACCGCTACATTCCAGAAGCTGAAAATTCTATCTCTAACTCCTCTTTAGGTGTTTCTTTAGTGTGTATCTCCACGGAGGATGCTCAGGAATGGAGGAAGAGTAAAGTCCCAACAAGAAAAGTCCCATGCGGAGAGAGAGGAGAATGTACAACTTTCTTTCTGCTCTGCTTATTGGTACCAAGTTCTGATCCTGGGGCCTCCAGTCTTTTTTTAAGGTGGCATGAAGGTGCACTGTCAGTGCATAACTTATGAGCCCATCCCCATAAAAGCATTTTAATGATTGGGAACCTAACTTTTCTTAGGGTGACATTTTTGTGTGGGAGCCAGGCAAGTTTTGCTTGTTGTGCGTGCATGCACGGACGGCCACCAAATAAACAAAGCTAGCCCAAGTTGTGAGAGCTCAGAGTGACTCCAGATCATGGGACTGGATAGGTCAGGGTGATGACTGTGGGAAGGGCCCTTTCCCCTGGAGCCCGAGAGGGCCTGGGATTATTGCCTGGCAACTCCTAGAGATGAATTCAGGTTATTATATAACTTGTTTTCCAAACTTTCTTGTGTAGTGGGAAGATCGCAGCTGTTCAAGGTCCCTCTGGCATTCGAGGGCTTGATACCCACTGCGGCAGGGCCGGCTCGTCAGGTTGGCCGAACTTGTCGATCCTGTTGTCACAAAATATTTTCTTCTCTCTCCACTTCTGTTGTTTACTTAGCAGAAGGGGCTCCACCCTCCCAGCAAGTTTTGACACTCTCTGCTACACTGGACGGCTACTGTAGCTTAGCTTTCAATTACAATAAATCCTATCATAATCATTTTCTTGCAACAAATCCTCTTTAACACTTGAGAAGCTCGGCTCCCACGGACGTCACGTTATGCTGTCAAAACAACCTCCCCTACCCCCACCCCTGCAGATTTCTACTGCAGATGCAGTAGCCGTGGCAGGCACTTGAAAATAAGGCCAACACCAGAGCCCTGCCCACCTTTGCATTCAATGCTGGTAGCAAAGAAGAAAGTGGTAGTCCGAGCTATTCAAACATGCTTTGACCTATAAAGCAATGGCCTTAATTCTGTGATTTCTAAATCATAATATCATGTTAAAGTACTTTCTGTAGGAAGGTATTTTGTTCAGGGATGAGGACCAGAATTACTAAGTATTAAATATTGCCATTAGAAAGACTCGCGGAGAACAGAACACCACCAGAGGAAAAGCGCTCACTCTACTGCGCAGTTTCGTTTGTTGGCTCTCTGGCCTTGGAAGTTCCAGTCTTGCTAAGTCTTAAGCATGTTTCCGAATTCGAGGGAACAGGAGGTGCTTCCACCTCTCAAATCTTAATTCTTCTCGGCCAGTGTTTCCAGGTACTGCTCAGAAGTCCATTTTTTTCTTTCTAGGTCGTATTCCCATGGCCTGCGGCTGCTTTGGGATACAGTCTGGAGACTGCTTTCAGGGTCCAAATCAAGGAAGTTTGCTAGAGGAAATATTTCTTTTTGGTGTTAGTCTCGCTTATGTGTGCCTGTGTGCATGTGTGTGCACGTGCACTTGGGTGTATGCACACACATTAATGCATTCATGTACATGTGGAGACCAGAGGCTAATGTATGGTGTCTCACTCCCTCCTCTCTCTGTCTCTCTTTCTCTCTCTCTCTCTCTCTCTCTCTCTCTCTCTCTCTCTCTCTCTCTGTCTCTCTCTCTCTCTCTCTCTCTCTCTCTTTCTCTCTCTCTTTCTCTTTCTCTCTCTTTCTCTCTCTTTTTTTCTTTCTTTCTCTCTCTCTCTCTTTCTCTCTCTCTCTCTTTCTCTCTTTCTCTCTCTCTCTCTCTCTCTCTCTCTCTCTCTCTCTCTCTCTCTCTCTCTCTCTCTCTCTCTGTCTCTCTCTCTCTCTCTCTCTCTCTCTCTCTCTCTCTCTCTCTCTCTCTCTCTCTCTCTGTCTCTCTCCATAGAGCTTACTGCTAGACTGGTTGGCCAGTGAGCCCTGGAGATCCACTTTTCTCTATCCCTCATTCCCAAGTTCTGGGGTTACCGGTATTTGCCATGATGCCTAGATGTTTTATGTGGCTGTTGGAGTTCTGTATTCAGGAGCTCGTGCGTGCATGGCAAGCACGTCAGCTCCATTTGTTGGCTCTTTACAGTGGCACTCTGAGATCCACACTGGGCAAATGACAGTCCTTTGTGGAGGGCCTACATGGGGGACGCTTTATCCTCAGTTAATGAATTTGACACAGCATGTATCATAATATCATAAGAATGGACTTCCTTTAATTTTCCA